TTATGCTTTCATTTACTACTTCAGTCTAGCTGAGCGTCCTATTTAATTGAATTTTCTGCTCCAAGGCTATAAAGATTTAGTTTACTACCTTCACTTGCCATTTCTCTGTTGTCATACTGTTTTCCACTTTGCTAAGCTTCATGGTTATAGCTTTTACTCAGCTGTGTATTTTTTCTTTTTTAAATTTATTTTGTATTGTTTTGCCACTTTCACTGTTTTGTTGTTCCTGTTCAAGGGAGACTCATAAACACAGCTCTCATTATTTCCACCTCAGCTCATTAGGGGATTGGCTTGAGTTCACAAGATAACTCTTGGAACACGCTGCAGCCAAAATCTTTGGTGTATCTCTTTGTTTAGACAAATCATGGACAGTAAACCTCACTTGTGTCTCCTCAGGGGACAGACAAGGGCCTTAGCAATCCCCCCTATCTCCGCTTTAGGAGCAAGATGGAAATACAGCTGGGCCATCACCACCTGGAATGTTCAGAGGGGTGAATTATCAGCAGTGATACAATCTCACAATAAGGAGAGTCAGTAGGCTGTGCTGTGCTATGCCGATCTATGTGTGTACAATTTAAAAGTGTCTCACAGCTGCATTGCAGCTCTGCAGCAGTGGCTTTGTGTTCCTCAGTAGCAGCCAGTGGTCTGGAACCATTACGTATGGATTCCTCTTGGCCACGGCAGCAACCTCTTCTTCTCTTTTTCCTCCTCGTCTTCAGCTGAGCCATAAAAAGTCTTCTCCCCGCTGCCTCCCTCTTCCAGCAGAGATTCCTGTAGAGACAGTGGGGATTAAATTGTGTGTAGGGGACAAACAGACCGTGGCAGAAATCGGTTTCTTTCATGGAAATTAGTTACTTATTTGTAAAATAAATGTCTAAAAAAAGTCACCAGATGGCAATTTGTAGAAGAAGGTCATTACACCTTGTGGCGTTAGACAAACATATTGTGCAAAATTACCACAATATCAATGTTCAACACAGTATGAAAAGCATCTCATTTTATTGCTAGGTGCTAATGACAAATAAGTTGACAGGTGGCTCTGAAAAATGGATAAATACAGAGAAAACAAATGACCAATTTGGCAACATCGAAAGAGAAAAATAGTGAGAAGATTATTTCACTTTGTTCCTCTGCACAGTCACAGTGGCAGAACTGGAAGAATATAATTAATCCAACAAAATAAGATGCATTATTGTTAAAAGTAAATCTGCACCTATACACTTTTGCTGCATAGTAAACCCCTGAGTCGCAGTTTACTCCTTGAGGGAATAAGTACATAGTCTTTTGTCTTATGTTATCAAAGTATTTACTGTACAATACATACATTGTAAATAGTGTCAGTGTATTAGTAAATTTAGATTCAGAGACAGTAAAAATGTCTTTGTGATGACAATTTGTTTTTTACGTGACTCATAAATTAATAAAAACCACACAGGACATATGGCGTGTTATATACTAGAAAATCATAGTACATACTGTATACAGTATCCGTGTGTTAACACAATATTGTTTAAAATTGAATTAGTCAATGGACATAAAATATAACTGACAACAGTTTTACTAATTAAATAATCTTATAATCCAATGCCAACAATTCATTTAATGTATTTCACTGTAAAACAAATATTTTTGCTTCTTGAACTGCTGACTGATGATGTGTAAAACTGAACTTATTCTGGATGGGATTCTGACTCACGTTGATGTTTGGGTTGAGGAACTGGTTCCTGGCATAGCGGGTCAGCACGTTGATGACGACGGCCTGGCCCCACTCTTCTACATTGATCAGGAGGTTACACAGCTTTCTGTAGTTCTTGTGGATCAGGTCGATGCGCTCCAGACACACCTCCTCAAAAGCCATGACAACACTTCCTGCTACCAACTGCAGCACATTTTCAATCACACAACAGGGTGGTGACGTCAGAATGCTGCCATTAAAGAACTTTTGTGGGCAGAGTACATATTTATTATGATTCTTAAACCACATAATATTACTTGTGCATTCTAAAATGATGTCCTACTGTAAGTTCAACTAGAGACCTACAAATGTTGCCTGTTTCTGCATTTTGTAAACTCTGTGGTTTTCAAACTTGTATTGGCATTTATTTAGTAACATCTAGTGAATAAATTATTGAATCAGCTATGTGAGCAGAAGAAAACCTGACTGTGGCTTTGTCAGGAGTTTCCCTATGACTTCAATCAGCTGGTCTTTCTGTTCTGGATCCAAACTGAGCAGAGAGGGCTAAATCACTCAGACGCATGTTGTTACATAAAACAAATTGATTTAAATGTCAGAGTGGTAATGGATTAGTGACAGGTTGACATTTTACTACCATAAAAAAAGTTTTAATTTCATAATGGCAGCAAGTCATAATAGTACATCAGTATTTAGATTCACTGTGGTAAGTAAACCCACAACAGGGAGTCATGATGGGACAACTGTCTTGGTGGGTCACCTGTAGAGTTTAGGAAATGCATGAGCAGCTGTCTTCCTGACATATGGAGACACATGAAGCAACTTCATTGATGGACAACATCATGATAGGGACAATGATAGTGACCTGAATGCTGCAGAGGATACGCAGACCACTGGCTCTGATCCTGCAAAAGTACAGAATAAAAAGAAAATAAGATAAATGCTGTGTCAGGCATTGTTTAATGAGGTTCATTCCAAATGGAGAGTCTACAGCATTGTGAGGCTCAACTTTGCTTGTAGTAGTTATACCATCCAAATCCCGGCCGGCAATGGAATTAGTAATTTGTTCTGTGTGGGAAATCTAGCTTGCAAAATATGGAAACCTTTGAAACTGCAGCTCATAAAAACAAGGCGATTGCAAAGTGGCATAATTCCTATACGACCAAACAAGAACCAACATCATTAGGATTAAGCCGAATATCTGTAGGACACCTAGAGTCACTGCTAGTGTGGCAAAGAGGGGATTTGTTTAGAAAACATCATAAGCGTTGTTGTGGTATCACAAACCTTGAACCTGCATTTCTACATAATCTAAGACAACATCACCTACAGTGTCTGCTTGACTTGTTTAAAACCATTTGTATCATATTTGATACGTGAGGTTTCTGAGCAAAAAAAAAAAAA